CTTGCATGCAGGAAGTCAAAGAGCTCCTCTGTGCAATCCTCCTCTGTCTTTGACCTGGAGGATACGCGCTCATCACAGAGCTCTAGCCGCTCCCGAGCCTTTACACATTTCTCCAGCTGCTCGCATTGCTCTCTCACCGTTGTTAGAGGATCCTGAAGGAGAAACACAGAGAAGAACCAAAATTGGGTTATAGGAGGAGACCCACAACCATCTGCTTTGATTAATACAACCACCAAACCAAGGTGCTGCCTCTGAATTACCGTGCAGAAGGCCAGCTGGCAGAGCCACACTGCCGCCAGAAATGGCAGAATGGGGTCTCCCATTCAATTCTGATGCTAAGTAGTAGGGGAAAGTTTCACATTCCTGCCTTCCAAGGTTGCCAGTATGCACTGAAAGCCTCAGTCCTATCTGAAAAACAAGGTGGTAAAGGAAACCTAGCCAAACTTGAAGTAGATCTATAGGAGGCCTTACTTGTTAACATAGCATTTTGGGATATGTAATGTCTGTGAATTTGAATTCTCCTCATCTGACAGCCAGGCCTATGCAACCCCAGCTGTCCAGCTAGAAAGGCAATGTTAACATGGAGAAGGACTATACAAGAAGAGTTCCTTCCAGAATTCTTTATTAAACCACAAATAGCAGATAATTGAGTACTAGGTCCTCAAGATGCTGCTCTGCTCCCTGACGCCATGACTAAAGCCCCAAACCCAGAAAAGACTGTTTCCCAGGCCCACACCACCCCCCAAACACTCCACAGCACAGGAAGGATTAAAGGCCTTTTCCACTTCCATCTTTTCCAAGGTGTCAAGTAAAGACACCTTAAAATGCCCTTAAGAGTTTCACGAAGCTCAAACTTTCTTTTACTGAGGTAGTTCCAAACCTGAGACGGCGCTTACCACTAATTCCTCCTCCTCCTCTTCCTCCTAAAAAAGGAAAACAAAATTAATGTCAGCAGCAATTTAGGAAATACATATTCCCAATCACACTGATTGTTGTAATTACGGAGGATAAGCATTGTATTATTGTTTTTTTAAATTTTCTGTATTTTATGATGCTTTGACATTGTAGGGCATTGTTACGTTACTAATCCAGGAGAGAAAGCCCCTCCCAGGGCTGGCTAATTTCTAGGCAGCAACTTGCCTTACGGACACATCTTTCATATGTAAACCAACCAATCCAAAACCCTTATCACCAACTACCTCCTTTATCTAACTCTCCTACACTAAACCTGTTACTGTCCCTGCCCTAATCTCCTTAGAGTCAAGTACCAAACAACTGGAGACCACCTCTATAGCCCAGAACCCAAGGAAATTATTCAAACTATCTAATCCTAACCTTGCCAGAGCTTGACTATCTTGCCTCACCCATTCTTTCCCTCAGAAACCAAAAGTCTGGTTTCCCTTGCTCTCTCGGCTGGTCCAGGCACTTTCCCATGTGGCCCTGGGTGGTGTGGCCTTCCCCCCTTCTCTTGGAACCCATACAAACTCTTCTTTCAAGAACAGTTGTCTCCATGCCTGTAACCTTACCATACCTAATTAAAACAAACCCTGAGTACATTGCAACAAGGACACACTATCTCACTTTAATTAGCAACAACCTAAAGTGTGCAGGACACTCTAAAGCCTCTAAAGCACTTATCTGTAATTTGATTAATCACAACAGCCCCTTAAAGGGCTCCCAGTTTAGAAATAACAAACACTAATTAGACATTTTTTTAAGTGAGCTCTACACCCAGTGGGGCTTAAACTCACCACCCCAAGATTTAAAAAAAAGTCGCATGCTCTACAGCCTGAGCCAGTCAGACACCCCTAATTAGACATTTTCTGATACAGATTCAAGCTGATGTTCACATGGAACCTATATAACTTAAAGTATTTTGTTTGGAATTCTGGTAGGTCCTACTAGCACCAAAAATAGCTTAATTTCATCCTTACATCCCAAATGAAATTAGGAGGAAAACATTTTTTCTAGACACTGAACTTGAACTGGGAATATGAAAATGGCCAAACCTAAACTCTTCTATAGCCAATGCTTTCCAGTTACTGCATTTGGCTTGCTGAACCCTCAGGACTCTAAGTAAACTATCAGTGTTAAGTGCATCAAAAGTCTAGAGTAGTCCATTCACAAACTTGGAACCACGCCCTAACCTATTTACTTCTGATTCAGGGACACAACCTCAAACTTACAAATAATGTAAACTTTTACAAATAATGTAAAAGATTCTCTGTGGGAGCATCAGCATAGGCTTAAATCTCAGGCATAGCAGAGTCTGAACTGCAGTATCTCAACCTGTCTAAATTAAGGTGTTTGCCTTAATTTACATTCACAGGAATGTGAATGCACGTGTCCACATTTGGGGAAGGGAAAGAAAAGGTATATATGAAGATTAAAAAAAAAAAAAAAACACAACAAATTAGCTTAGCAATCCTTCATTAAGTTTTCAAAATTCCAACACAATTTGCTTCATTCTAATGAAAGCTGGGAAGGGTAAGGCAGGTTCAACCCAGGCTATTTATTCTCACAGTTAGCAAAGATCTCTCCTAAACATGAAGATGATTTTTATGATGTCAAATTCCAGTTTTTCATTAAGGTTTCTTAACCTTGTTCTTTAAAAAAAATTCATACTGAAAAAGTTTTTCCAGGGGCACCTGGGTGACTCAGTCGGTTGAACATCCCAACTCTTGGTTTCAGCTCAGGTCATGATCTCACTGTTTTTGGGCTTGAGCCTCACGACAGGCTCTGTGCTGACAGTGCAGAGCCTGCTTGGGATTCTCTCTCTCCCTCTTTCTCTGCCCCTCCCCAGCTCACTCACTCATTCTCTCAAAAACAAAAACAAGGGGCACCTGGGTGGCTCAGTCGGTTAAGCGGCCAACTTCGGCTCAGGTCATGATCTCACAGTCCGTGAATTCGAGCCCCGCATCGGGCTCTCTGCTAACAGCTCAGAACCTGGAGCCTGTTTCAGATTCTGTGTCTCCCTCTCTCTCTGACCCTCCCCCATTCATGCTCTGTCTCTCTCTGTCTCAAAAACAAATAAACGTTAAAAAAAAATTTTTTTTAAAAAACAAAAACAAAAAAACAAAAAATCCTCCCACCCACCAAATTGAAATCCTAACCTGCCCGAGTTAGAAACCTGAAATTTGTATCCCAGAAGCAAGACCTTTGTATCATTTCCCTATTAGCAATGCTACTACATTGATCATTTTGATGATTTTGTAGCAGAAGTATCACAGCATGTTTTGGAAAAACAAATCCAAATACAAGTCTGAAAATGGGACTACTTCATATAAAATTTCCAGTCAATGACAAAAACCAAGGTCACACTAGATAAAAAGATTTATTGTCCAAAAGGTGTAGATAGGTTCTTCATAAAAGACCTCAGTTTTCTTAATTAAAACCAAAAAACAAAAAAAAAACCAAAAAACAAAAAAACTGACTACTTTCTTTTTCTCATCTGCTGCTGTGGTGAGCTCTACTGAACTTTCTGGTATACTTCCTGCTGAACTTCCTGAGGCAAGCTCCATTTCTTTCTGGTCCTCTTTCTGAAAATAAGACTAAGAAAAATCATGGGATCAACTAGTTTCCAACTACTCTGAACCCATAAACCCAGAACAGCTGCCCAGAAGTGACTAGAGAACAAAACAAAGGATAGGAAATGTGACTGAAAACCAAAAGTTAGCTGGCTTCTCTAAAGCTGTATAGCACTGTGGCTAAGTCTTGGCTCTGGAACCATGTGGCTTGGGTTCAATTCCTCGCTCCATGATTTCTTAGGTGTGGTCCTCAGAAAAGATATTTAACCTCTCTATGCTAGCTTCCTCACCTGTAAAATGACAACAGGAATAGTACCTAATACTTACCTCATAGGACTATGGGGTGGCTTAAAGGAATGAGTACATATAAAGAACTTGGAATGGAATAGTAAGCTGTCAATAAATTATTACTAGGTTGGAATTCTTCCTCTGGGAAAGAGCTCCCTCTTCCATCCTCACAGAATTATACTGCACACTCCTACACCGTCCCCAAATATACCTCCCACTCCCACCCCCACCAAAGAAAAAGAAATCCCTTCCTCACAGAAACTAGTATAAGGCCAGATCTCCGGAACCTCAACAGAAGATGTAGCAGGATTCCTGACCTGAGCGGAGGGAAGCGCTAGGGTTGGTCTGCTTGCTCCCTGACCTTGTCAAACCAGGATCTCAAAACACCGGATTGACTAAAAACACAGATACTATTTTTACAAAAGTTTAGGCGACACAGCATTTTCGCTCTCGTTAAACCGTCACCGCTTTCACAAGACGGGGAAACCAAGGCCCAGAGAAAAGCTAGTCATCTACCAGCCCCAGATGAATCGACGAATTCTGGGGCTGGGTCGAGGGAACCAGTAAATCCCGACCGTGCAAACTCCAGGGGCGAATCCAAGGCCAACAGGGCCCCGCGTGTATTTTGGCGAGCTTGGTCTTGAGCCTCAGGGAAGTGAAGAGGGCCGAGTCGGTCGCCTTGCCTTACCTCTTTGGGGTCTCCGGACCCAGTCAGCATCTTTCGCTCGTCCTCCAGCCCCATGTTCCGCTACGGTCCTGAATTCAACACCAGCAGCAATAGCGGCACCTATTCCACTCCAGGATCAAGAAGGACTTGTAAGGGTCACTCAGCGGATATCCGGCGATCTGGCCGGAAGTGCGGCAGACTCGTCGTAGTCGCGAACACACGCTCGGATTGGCATATACTACCGTCCACAGGCAGGGGACAGGGGGAGCTAGTATTCGTGCCTAAGGAGGATTTGCTAAGAAATATCCCCTTGATCGCGCCAGAGCCAAATACATTGATATACGAATTTATTTAAAGTATTGGCTTCTAAGAGACTTGGTAAGAATGCGCATTTACTCGACGTTCCTTTAGCGCAGTTCCCAGTCTTCCCCACATCGCTGATGAAACCGTCCTAACTGCTGACCTTTTCAAGATGGCGGCGCGAGGGTGCCACTCTCGGGATCGCGCACCTCCCCAAGATGGCGGCGCCCGAGGCCTGGCGCGCCCGGAGTTGCTGGTTCTGTGAGGTAGCGGCGGCAACGACCATGGAGGCCACGTCCCGGGAGGCGGCGCCAGCGAAGAGCTCGGCCTCGGGCCCCAGCGCTCCCCCCGCCCTGTTCGAGCTGTGCGGGCGGGCGGTGAGCGCCCATATGGGGGTTCTGGAGAGCGGGGTGTGGGGTAAGTCGCGGGGTGAGGGGCTACCTCTGGCAACGAGCGGAGGCGGCCCAGCGGCCGGGGGGCGCGGGGGGCGAGGCCGGGAGGCCTGGGGCAAGGCCCAGCCCGGGGTACTGGAAGCCGCACCGTCGGGTCGGAACACGAATTCCGTGACTGACTGGACTAGGCAGAGTAAAAGCAGGGACCAAATCGGCAGGTGGACCTGCACCGCGGCCTGGCTAGGGGATCGCGGGGGGCGAGGGCAGGAGGCCCGGTCTGGGGCCAAGCAGGCAGGGCCCGGACGACAGAGGCTGGAGTGACGGACCGGCCGTGGGCACCGAACTGACGCTCGAGACGGGCCGGGCTGGGGAGTCTCGGATGTCGAACCGACGGGCAGAGATGGCCCTGCCGCTTGGGGGCGGGGGCCGAGGTTGGGAGGCCCGGCCTAAGGCAAGGAGGCCAGGCCCGGGGCCACCTAACCTGACTGACGCGCGGGGCCTCCGGTGTCTGCTTGACGGACCGCGGGTGCTGAGACTCCCGAGGCCAGGCTGATGGGCCAGGGCAGCCCAGTGGAATGGAGAGCGAGGGGCTGGGGGAGAGGCCGAAGGCTTGGGGCGCCGAGGCCTGTCCGACGACCCAGGGCTGAGGGGAGCGCACTGAAGACCGGGGCCTCGGGTGCCCAATTGCTTCAGCGCAGGACTGACTGACGGGGCAGGGCAGGGAACGCCGGAGGCCACTCGGACTGGCCTGAGCGGAGGAAGGGCCCGAGCGGGTGAAGGGAGGCCGGGAGCGGGTCAGCAATCTAGGGAGGCTCGAATGACGGACAGGCGGGAAGGGCCAGGGAGGCCCCAGGAGGGGCGACGGCCCGGGGATCCCGGCTGGGAGGGGGCGCGTCGCAGCTAGGAGGCCTTGGGCTGAGTCGGAGCCAAAGGAGGCACCGGGCCCGAAAGCTGCCGGGACCGACGACCCGGCTCCGGGCTGACGGTGCCCAGGCTGAGCGGCCAAGGCGGGCG